CCGGGAGGCGGCCACCCAGCGGTCCCCCGACGCTGCCCTGGGCCCGGTTCCCAGGTTATGAAGGCTTCTCAGGGCCCAGGAGCGAAAGCCAGGCAAGGTTCAAGTGGAAGCTTCTCTCTAGAGCCCTATTTTTCTAGGTACTGTTTCTGCCGCAGAAGCTGGGGAAGGAAGGTGTGGGTTGTTATTGGTCTTCCACCCCACCCCCATGTTAAATGCTTGCAAACAGGAATCGAAGACGTTCTAGAGAATCAAATTTCCATAATAAAGAATTGAACTTCCCTAACATCTGTTAATTGGCTGGTAGAAGGGGAGGCAGAAACATATTGTCCCAGCAGCCAGTATCCGCTCTAGGCAGTTTTCTATCCAGTGGCAAGGGAGGAGACCTTGGATTTCTAGCGGCCGGAGCCCGTAGTCTCCCCAGGCACCGGCAGGTGCTGCCCTGTGCTCCTTATTCGCACACCTGGCTTTGCCGGCGAGAGGCCTCTCAAGGCCATCAAATCCGTCCTCACTTGGGAAACCTCTCCAAACCTGAGGTGTTTCTATTCAAAGTGACATGGGATGCGAACACTTGGTTCCAACAAGGCATGCGGCTACGTCTATCGTGCCACTGCAAGCAGCGACTTCCCGGCTCGGGTAACCGTGGGCAAAGGGAGTGGAAGTGGAAGAGCCAGGGCTGACCTGCTGTCGTCCTCAAGTCTAGCCTGAGTCACCCTACAGTCAGTGAGATTTAACGAGAGCAAGAAGAAAGCAGTGCTGGCGACTGACTCTTCCCTTAGCAACTCCAGCAGCAAGCTGTGGTGGAGCCCTCGTTGTCACTTTTAAATTGAAATACATTTGACATAAAACATTGTGTAAATTTAAGGTGTTAAACACTTTAATTTGATATATTTACATATGATTACCATGGTAGCGATTAGTAGCGCCTATTACCCTTCCTGCTCCAGGCGGCTAGGATAGGGATACCCTTGCTAGAAGAAAGCAAACAACAGTTAACAGCTGGGTTCTAGGATGAAAAAAAAAATAGCACGCATCAACCCCGTGTTCTGAAAACTTTCATTTTAAAAATTCAAGGAAACCTAACTTTAAAGACCAGAGGAGCGGTATGTCTATCATAGACCCTTTGATTACCACTATTAGAGAGGATTACTCCAATTTTAAATAAGCATTTATTTTATAAGGGAAATAAAGATGAAAAGCTTAATTTACAATAGGTTATTAACTATTTTTAGAAGAAGAAAAGCCTAGGTGGTGTGAAGTTTAAACATTTAAGATTCAAAATCCATGCACCCTCAAAAGTTTCAATTGAGGCTGCAGAGTAGAACTAAGACTTGATTTTATTTCCCCTCTTAGTATCCACATGACCAGAATGTCAGATTAGCTCCTTTACAAGAAAGATTCCTGAGCAGCAGATAGCAAACCAATGGAACATTTAGGAGCCTCTGTGACTATTCCAAAACTTTTGACAAAAATGCCCTACACACACACACACACACACACACGTGCGCACGCGCGCATCTGAGATGATTTTGTGAAAGAAAATGGTAAGATACACTGAACATCCTTGGTTAGAGATTGGAGGGAGCCAAGAAAAAGGAGGTTGAACTTTAAAATCCTTTAGGTGTGATGATACATAAAATTCTTTCTGCATGTAAAGTATAATTTTTAAGAAACACATTAGATTCTTCTCAAAGCAGGGCATGAACCAGGGCCACCAAAGTTTTCACCCAGATCAAAGTCCCCAGACCTCCCTACCTGGTCTCTCAAATATATTCTTACAGGAAATCACTTTTAACAGTTTAACTTTTACATAATTGCACATATCTTTTTTCCTCCAGCAGCTTGATTTTCCTTAGTATGGGCATACTTAACCCTTCCCTTACTACTGATAAGTTTGTTTCCCAGATTTCTCAATTACAAACTGCCACACATAATTTCTACTTGCAACTTTGTGTCCATGTTGGAATATTTCTATGAGAGAACTTCTTAGAAGTGGAATTGCTGGGTTAAAGACTGGGCACCTTTAAAATTGTTATATTGGGGAGACCAGTTAGCTCAGTTGGTTACAGCATCGTGTTGATAACACCAAGATTGCTGGTTCGATCTCCTCATGGGCCACTGTGATCTGCACCCTCCCTAAAAGAGTCAACTATGCCATTGTAGCATGAAAGCAATGTGTAACTAATGACCATGGCTGTTTCCCAATTAAAAAAAAAATTGTTACATTGCCAAACTGCCCTACAAAAATGACCATACCAATTTATTTTCTCACTACATGGTATGAAAGCTATATTCACCCAAATTCAGTTACCAATCTATTTTATGTCCATGTGTCACTTCTTAATTTTGTCTCAATATTTACCCCACTGTTTTAACCATGTAACTTTATAGAATGTTTTCACATCTGAAAGGGCAAGCCTACTCTTACAGTTCAATTGGCAATCTTGGTCATTTGTTTTCCAGATGAAGCAACTTGTTAAAATACATACCGTATTTCCCCATGTATAAGACGCACCCTTTTTCAAAAAATTTGGGTTCTGAAAACAGTGCGTCTTATACAGTGGTTGTAGATTTTTTTTACTTGCATTTCCCACTTTTTTCGCGATTGTTTTTGTGCTCATACAACCACTGTATAAGACACACCCAGTTTTTATACCCCAATTTTTTCGAAAAAAGGGTGCATCTTATACATGGGGAAATACGTAAATGGTTAAGGGAAAAGGTATATATAGACATGGCTTCCAAAAATATTGATTTTATTAAGGTACACTAGAGTGCTTATTTTTAGTTTTTAAATGACATGTACATTATATATGCATGGAAGCATGTCTTTTTATTTTAAAGATTTTATTGGAGAATTAGGGGAGGGGAATAGCGTTGGGGAATCAGTGAAGGGGAACAGACAAGTTGCTGTACTTTTGTTCTTCAGTCTAGTTGTGGAGGACGTCGTTTCACTGACCCATGTTGATATTTTCATTGTGCTCTTCCCAGGTGAGGCAGATCAATCGCTGGCCATTGGATGCCCCTCACGGTGGCTCACGGCAGCTCACGCCGGCTGCCGGCTACTCATGCTGGCTTCCAGCCACCCATGGTAGCTCATGGCAGCCCAGCTCCAGGTTGAGCTGTTGTTCACCATCTTAGCTGTAGACAGTGCAGCGTCACTGACCCTCATGTGAGATCCGAGCCCGGGCCCTGCTGCTCAAAGCTGGAGTCCCAAGCCAACTCTTAACCAATTTGCCACTCGGCGGGCCCTGGAAGCACATCTTTTACCAATTAAAAGAAAGTGGTAAATTAGATGGGGAGACTAGTAACTGAAGCCCAAGGCAATTGATGGAAGGTTGTCGAGGAACAAGGGCAAAAACTACAGGAGTCTACAAACAATGGCTCTTTTTTGTACATTTTTTGGAGGTAAAATGATTGATGGCTAGTGGTCAGTCTGAAGTTTTTGAATAGACTGATTAGAGGCATCAAATAAAAAAGTTCACTATTGATAGAATCTGTAGAAAATTTTTGAGTTTAGCTGTGCAGCACACATGGCAGTCTATATCCAGGTCTTCCTGCAGTGCCAATTTAGTTAAGCCAGGTTGGTACTATTTCCCCTCATTTCAGATTTTCTCAACTCCACACTTTTTATCAAAACAAGGCCTTTTTAAATATCACCAATAATGGGACCAAAAACAAAACAAAACAAACCATGTGCCTCCTGATGTGATACACTGAGGACACAATATGATTTACCTAGTATTTTTGCAAAAAAATGTATAACCTAAATCTAACCATGAAGAGACATCAAAAATAAAAGCAGGATTATAAGTGAAGAAAAGAAAACTACAGTCAGTCTGAAAACAGTGAATCCTGCTTGCACATTTTGGGAGCAGGGTAAACTGGTTGGCAAACAGTTTAGGGTGAACAGTCTGTCTTTGGGCTCACTAAAGTTGACCAAGAATACAATTTCAGTTGTTTATGTATTCTCTGGGAAATCTTGAGAATTTAGCTGTGGAGCATATGTGACAGTCCAGCTCTGTTATGTCTGCCTGTGTACTTCTTTTAGTACCTCAATTTAGTTAATAGACATCTGCACTATTTACCTTCATCAGGATTTTTTACAAGTCACCTAGGAAAAGCCTTTTTTACAGCCTTCCCAAGTCCTTCTGAAGCACCTGTATAATCAGGCTTTAAGGACTCTCACCCTACTGCATCACCCCCTTAAAAAATGGTTGTGAAAAAAAAAACCGGTTGTGATTATAATTAGAATTGCATTGAGTTTTTAGATTAATTTAGGAATTGACCACATCTGTGCAACACTCAACTTTTCCTTTGGGAAGGTAGTGTCTCCATTTATTCAGCTGGTTTTCCTTCCTCCCTTCCTCATTTCCTCCATTGTCCATTTCATGTCTATTCATAGATATTTCAATTAAATAAAGGTTCTATATTTTATCAGAAATAAGTTTTCATTAATCTAAAGTAGAATATAAGGAGTTAAGATTTTTATAATCTGTAAGACAAAATCATTTAAAAAATAGTAATAAAATGGTATATAAGAATTTAACACAAAATCATAAAGGAGGAAAAAAAAACAAAACAGACATAACAAATAGCAAAATGAAAGACATAAATCCAATCATTGATAATTACATTAAATTTGAATAAACTAAATCCTCCAATCAAAAGATAGAGATATTCTAACTAGATTTTTAAATAGCCAGATTCAAAAACATACATTTTATATTACTCTATTTATATTACATGTTCAGAAAAGGAAACTTTGCAGAGACAGAAAGCAGATTGGTTCCCTGGGTTTGGAAACAGTACTGATGATTGACTGCAATGGGCATAAGGAGTCTTTCTGAAGTGATGGAAATGTTCCCAAACTGGTTTGTGGTGATGGTGGAACAACTCATAAATTTACTAAAAAAATCTTTTGAATTATACACTCAAAATTTTATAGTTATGTAAATTGTAACCAATTAAGCAATTAAATTTTTTAAAATTGTAGTACAATAGCACTAATACCCAAAGTCTCTAAAAGGAATATTATGACTGGATAAAGACATAGGACAATTGGAACCTGATGGAAGAAATGCTGCTGGAAGAAATGTAATTTGGTTCAATCACCTTGACAATTTGAACTTATGCACACCCAATACCCGGCAATCCCAACCTTAGATACATACTCAATAGTAAGTCATGACGTATTGTTCTATGTTTTTCATTGCAAAAATATGTCATGACTTTTCCGACAACCCAATATATATACGTCTGCACCAAGTCATCTACAAGAATTTTCATAGTAGCACTATTCATGATATACCCAAATAGGAAATAACCAAAATGTACAGCAAAAGTAGAAAAAGTAAATGATGGTTTATTCATACAATGGAACTATGATTACAACATGGACAAATCTTACAGTAATTCCATTTATATTTAAATCAGGATAGTTACCCTTGGGGAAGATGCAAGTAGGGGCTCTGGAGCGCTGGTAATATTTTTCTTTCTCTGAGTGCTGGCTAAATGAATGTGTTCCCTCTGTATTGTCTGATTTTATGGTCAGAATTTTTCATGTTTTTTTTTAAAGATTTTTATTGAGGAATTGGGGGAAGGGGAACAGACAAGTTGCTGTCCTTTTATTGTTCTTCAGTCTAGTTGTGGAGGACATTGCTTCACTGGCCCAAGTTGGCACCATCATTGCGCTCTTCCCAGGGGATGCAGATCACTCATGGCAGTTGCTGGCCGCTCACACTGGCTGCTGGCTACATATGGTAGCCCATAGCAGTCCACTGCAGCAGGGGCTGCAGCCTACACTGTCACCTGTGACTCACGGCAGCCCAGCTCCAGGTTGAGCTATTGTTCAGCATCTTAGCTGTAGAGGGCAGTGTCACTGGCCCTCATATGTGGGATCCGAACTGGGGCCTCTGGGGTCCCAAGCCAGCTCTTAACCAACGCGCCACTCGGCCAGACTCAGAATTTTTCATACTTTGGATGTGCATGTTTTTGTATGAATGCTATGCATCAATAAAACATTTACTAAAATAATAGAAAAATATCTGGAGTTATGGAAAGCTACTTGAAGGTAACATATGGGCAGTGAGATTATTTGAATAATTATTTTAAAACTTTATATAGTGCCTTATTTAAAAAGAAATTAAGCACGCATGTTTGTCATCACAAAAATCAATGATGCTATTTTTATTTTGAATGTGGTACTAAATAGCTCTATTTTAGCAATTTGTTAGAAAAAACATGGTCTTGTCCCTCAATAGAATGAACACTGTGGATTCTTCACAAATTAAGAGGTTTATTCTAATTCCTCTTAAAAAGAAACAAAAACAATGAGAAAAGACTCTAAATTCAGCTGCAGAGAAAAACAAAAGCAAGTGGGAAAGTAGTGTAGAGGTAAGGATTTGGATCCTAGAATCAATGTTTTGGTTTAAATTTCACACACAACCACATCGTAGCTCTGTGACCTTAAGCAAGTTTACTTATGCTCCAAGCATCCTACTTAGATGCCTGGCACAGGGCTTGGTATGTGATACAAGCTCTAATAAATAAATACTGGGGGTTCCTAAAAATATATATATACAAGTGGACACTTTGGTCAATGTTGCTCAAGCAGTAGTTCACCATAAGCAGAAGTGTCTGGACACTGATGGTAAACACTTTATTGTAATTGCAGAAGTCAAATGTGACTTGTAGTCATCTTTTTTTATCAGTATATATTGAGTATTACAATTTCAATTTTTTTTTTCTTAAAATGTGTGACTATTTTTTTGGCCCCCTCTGTATATAGCTAATATTACCCCAAATTCTGAAAGATAGAATGACAGAGCAACTACCCTTTTTCGATATTAAAAGGTTATGGAAGTAGTAAAAATATTGTATTGGCACATGGATGAAAGGAAACACAGAAAAGCCTTATTAGATGTTGTATTAGTTTGCTAGAGCTGCCATAAAAAAATAACAGACAGGGTGGCTTAAACAAGATATTTATTTTCTCAAAGTTCTGGAGGTTAGAAGTCCAAGATCAAGGTGTTAGCAGGTTTGGTTTCTTCTAAGTCCTCTTTCCTTAGATTGAGGATGCTGCCTTCTTGCCGTGTCCTCACATGGTCTTTCCTCTGTGCTGGAACCTATCTGTGTCCATATTTTCTCTTCTTATAAAGGTAACAGTCATTGGGAAAAGGCCCACCTGTGTGACCTTTTTACCTCATTTTACCTTAATTACCTCTTCTAAGGCCCTATCTCCAAATACAGTCCACATTCTAAGGTAATGTGGGTTAGGATTTCAACATGTTAATGTGTATAAAGGATGGAAGGAGTGGATCATTTAGTAATTTAATTTTGGATAATTTTTGGGAAATTGGAATAAGGTTTAAGCATAACCCTCTTCCTCCAAATAACGGTCCAAAATGTTCAATGGTTTTGGAGAAATCCCACTAGGAAAAACCTATAGGCATATTTGTTTATCAAATTTCTTCAGAATGTGAAAAAGCAGGCGTTCCTAAGCTTAAAAGGGGTGAAGATGAGAGGAAATCACCCAGAACATGTAATTGGTTTAACCACATACAATAAAAATTTTTCATATGCAAAAAATTTGAGAAGCAAAGGAATAAAAAATGTTAGTTATAATGGACCATTATGTGTTACAAAAGCTTATACAGATAATAAAAGTCCTTTATTCAGAGTTAAAAGAAGAAATGATAGAAATGAATAAAGAAAAATGTAAACGTGTTTTACAAAAATGTGAAGCAAAGTAGGTACACGATTAATACCACTTGTAATCAAAGAAGCACAATTAAAAGATTTGTGTATGTGTATGTTTAAAACCCTTGCAAATGGCTACAATCTATTACAGCTAAAGGGTGAAGAAACTGCATGAGTTAAATGAGCTCCAACTTTGTGTCTGTGACCTCTGGTAACCTCTCAAAGTGGAGGCAGCAAGGGGTTGGGGCTGTTTTCCACAAATTGGTCATAGCATTGTAACTGGTAATGGGAAAACCACCCAGGACATCTGTGCAGTCCTCAGGGGAAAAGGAGGCAACTGGCTTGGAGGTCAGACACCTTCCATGGGCCAAAATGCCCAGGACCCCGACTCTTCTCTGGTGAATCATAGCACCAGCAGAATGAATGTTGATTGCCTCATCTAGTGTTGGAACACCCACCCATGTGCACGGAGGAAGGCTCCACTCTAAGAAAACCCACACTCAAATCAGCAGCTTCAAAGTGAAAGCCTCAAAGAATCATTAGCACTATCTATGGAGCTTGTTAGAAATGCAAATTCACGGACCCAATGTACTAAATCACAGTCACTTAAGGAGCCTAGGAAATAGTGTTTTAGCAAGTTCTCAAGGTAATTGTTCCACACATTCAAGTTTGAGAACAAATGATGCAAAAAAGCCAAAGCAGACTGACCCTGAGTCTCTTCTCCCTGTGCTTGAGTGCCTGGCTCTGACCATAAAATCATAGAAGGGTTAGTAATTTCAAAATGGTAGAAAATAAGAAACAAACAAACAAACAAATCACTACCAATTAGATCTTTTACCCATGCCATACATCAAGACATGAATGAACGAACAATCTGTAAATTTACTTAATTTTAAGCGAGCAAATCTTTATGCCACTGGACAAAAAGGAAATTCATTTATTTACTAGATGGGCACTACAAAGTCACATTTGCATCAACATAATCAGACCACTACCCATCAAGACAAAGGAGAAAAAAAATGCAGAGATTTAAGAATACTTGCTTCTCTTGAACTTCAGCAGCATAAGCAGGATTGTTCTTATAATGCTCCTGACAATAGTTATGCAACAGGATGCTGGACAGTCTGGGAACCTAATGCACGGGCCTTCAAGAACTCCTCAAGTTGTTTCATCTTCTGAGCTGGATAAGGAAAAACGCTGTTTCAAATTACTCCGTCATTGGGGGGTATGGGGAGGTGCTGGCAGCATCATTTCTTAGTCTGGAGGCTCTGAACCTGGGATCTGGAAATAGTGGGTAACCAAGCAGAGGCTGGCATGGGCAGTGATAGGCCTGAATGCGTCAGATCTCAGCTTACTCTCCCAAGGTCCTACTTGGGACTTCTCTCACAAAGGGATGCCCAGGGGCTGTGTGAAGCCTACTGGAGTTGGGAAACTGCAGAAGGTATTAGGAAGGTTAAGAGAGGTTGGGAGGAAGCCAGGTATGGCCAGATGGATCACCCGTGGCTCCCTCCGCATGCAGGTTTTCAGACCCTCACCTCGGGCACGATGTTGCCGGTGCCTTGATGCCAGGCTTAGGAGCACGCTCTTCACCCGATTTTGCACACGGGGCTGTCCGAAGATGGTGATTTCAACGAAGTTCCCGTTGTTCACTATGTCCACCGTCAGCAGGACCTGGTTCATCCACTCTATATCCGGAATGATGGCTCGGTCTGCGCCTACATAGGAAAAGAGAGGCTCTGAGTGGAGGCACCGCCGAAGGTCAGGAGGAGCTAGGTTTGAAGGGAATGTCAGTCGGGCAGGGAAGAGCTGGAAGCGGGCATCATCGCGTCATACGTGGCCTGCGAATCCGGGAAAGGCACAGCAAAGACCCGCTCTGCGGGCCTCTCTCAGACTGTAGGGGGCTAGGCCAACCTGCACACCCCGGGTCGCTCACCGAAGATCAAGTCAGCCAGCCATGCCTCCAGGTAAAACACCAACGGGTCTCTCAGTTCCTGCACAGGAAACCACCATGGGCGGGTGCGAATCCGTGGTGGCTCAAGTGGTAACTTCATTAGCACATCCAGGGAATTGGCGGGCTTGCCTTCATCCCCCTGCTTCACTGCACCTGCGTGGGCCGCCATACTACGACCAGCAGCACAAGGGCAAGGTCCAGGCAACTCAGGCAGAACTCCAGCGAGGCTCGAACCCGGGGCCCCTTTTATGGTTTCCGGCCAGCCCCGCCCCTTCCGGCGGCCCTTTGGGGCTACAAGGCCCATTGACACGGGCGCCCAGGCCTGGTGGTGAGGCAGGGTGTTTCCTGCTCTGCGTCAATCACCAGGACTTCCTCTTCGACCTTGAATTAGTGTTTGAGTTCCAGCTGGATCTCAGAGGCTGTCTATCCATGGTTTTCTCTGGCAAGTGAGGCGTCAGCCTCAAAGGCCCCTGCCCCCCCACCCCCACCCCCGCACATAGCTGACTAATGGTGGTTCGAATTTGCTACTTTGTTAACTGGGAATCCCTTTCAGTGCCTAGGCTAAGGTTTCTATGTTACCTTCCACAGGTAGGTAGTAAGTCAGGCCGAGGGTAGATTCATCGACTACATTTTTCTCTCTTCTGCGCCCTGTTACATATTGACTTTTTGGCTGGTTACCACTTCTAAATCATTCAAGCAAGAGTTCCCACTTTTAAAATATAAATGTCAATGGTGTTCATTATAGAAAACGTAGCAAGTATAGACAAACCCCGTTTATTTCCAATGTCCTAAGACAACTAACGTTGATGCACATTTCTTACCAATGTTCTTAATTTTAGTTAAAATTTTAAATTATGAAAATTTTACGCCCACCCACAACTAAGACTGAACTCGGCACCTTGAGCTGAGCAACCGTCGGGATGGCTCAGTGGATGGAGCGTGCGCTCTTAACAACAAGGCTGCTGGTTCAACCCCCGCATGGGATGGTGGCTACACCCACCCGCAACTAAGATTGTAACACAGCACCTTGAGCTTAGAGGCCATGAGCTGCCCATGGGCAGCCAGATGGCGACTGGCACCCTCCACAACGAAGATTGAAGAACAACTTGGCTGGTCCCCCCTCACCCCCCCCAATTCCCCAATAAAACCTTTAAAAAAAAAGTTGTATATTTATAACACCCGTGCGCAACCCCCATACCCCATCACCAATTAACAAGATGTTAACATCTTGCCTCACTTCTCTCTTTAAAATAGATATCACTAAAACACCTTTCTTTTCCCTCCCCACAGGAAATCATTGTCCTGAAGCTGGTGTATATCATTCCATGCATGTTATACTTTTATTCTAGTGCATTTCTAGAAATATTGTTTGGTAGTTGTTTTTAGAAGAGATGCTATATAAACAATTTTGTTCTTACAAATAGCTATAATGTGTTTGTTTTAAAAGTCTTTTTTAATGTAAAATTTTTATCATTTACATAAAGGTGATAGTATTAATATATTGAATTCCCTCATCCACATCAGTTATCAAGAGATAATCTCTATAAAAGGAGATAGTGAATCAAACTTTAGTACATATTTTTATTTCTTCAATTTAATTTTAAAATTCAATATAATAATACATGTACACTGTAAAAAAAAAAAGTCTTGAGGATCATAAATATGTGAAAGTTCTCCCTTTCATGTATTCTCCTTCAATCTCTTACTAATCCTTTTAAAATTTTGTTTATTGTGAATATCTTCTTCTATTTTAAATTGTCTTTTCACTTTCTTTAAGGGGTCTTTTGATGAATAAATTTTTAATTTTAATATAGTCAATTTATCAGTCTTTATAGTAAGTGCATTCCATGTCTTTTTTAAGAAATCCTTTCCTGCCCTGAGGTCTAAAGATATTCACTATACTTTCTACTAAGAATGCTGAAGTTTCTGCCTTAACATTTAAATCCTTGAGCCATCTTGGGGTTAATGTTTTTTTAAAACTGGGCATTAGGTAGGGAGATAACTTCATCTTTTTATAAATTGACATTTTTTTTACTTAAGCCATTCTCTTGAGAATGCATCCAACCTGAGGCAACTTCACTTTATATCCTTGAAAAATTTCAGACTCCTACATGTAGCAAGAGTTAGCCACAAGGCTGGTTAGTACTAGTTAATTATTAGGTGAAGACACACTTGAGAAAGGCAAAATCAAGACAGGTTCCTTTGCCATCCCCATCTGGATGACATAGTTTATTTCTGGTTTAGTTTTATTTTGGAAGTATAGTAATTTGGGGTCCTAGCTTTATGCAGAGACCCCATATTAAGTTTCCTACATATGGCAAGCCTCAAGTTTTATTTGCTGACCCCATGCCTGCTTCAAAACAGAATTGCAAGGTTATTAGGAGTTAGCAGAATCTTCCAAGATGAATCAGTTTTGTCACTCAATTACCTACAAGTTTCCTGATTTGACTCTGATGGGTGGGGAGTGGGTATGGTTTGAATACTGGCTCCAACATTTTCTAGCTGTGTGACTGACGCAAGTTATTAAAACTCTTTTACCAAGAATATTTCTAGAGGATCACGTGCTTTCATTTTCTCTGCTTAGCCCGGGAGGAACCAGTCTGAGGGGATTTGGATTCAGACAATAAAGTATGTGTGTGAATTGGTTTTATAATTTCTCACTGAGAAGTTTTGTTCTTCATTACTTCACTTCTTGTAATCTTCAACTCTTAAGATGAAATCTCTATACAACAAAAAATATTACAAAGCATAATGAAGCCATAACACCAATTTTTTGTATCAAATAATATCAAAGTGTATATCACAAATAGAAAAATGAGGAAAGTACACTAGAAAGGAGATATTTAACAAATTACTGTCAGACTAGAAGCAATTATGTGGAAAAAAATACAATAAAGCCCTAATAGTTCTAAACAATAGAGGGCATTCTTCTAATGTTTAGGAGCATTTACAAACAGTAACTATACTATACTAGTTCCCTTGGATGGATGGATGGATGGATGGATGGATGGATGGATGGATGAATAAGGAGACATTATATCACACTATTAAATAATATTCAAGTAAAGTAAGAAATGAAAAAGATTACTGACAGGCTATTTAGAATATGAGAATAACTTACAAAGTACATTTTAAAAACATTTTATTATGGACAACATATATTCAGAAAAATCTAGTTTCAATCCCTTCTCATCTATCCTGTTCTCTCCTTCCCAATATAGTTAAGTAGTAATAACTTTTGAATTACTTTTCCATTTTAAAAAATGAATCCCTTGCAATATTTTGCTACATCTGCATGCAGCTGACAGAGTCCAGCATTGGCGATGAAAAATCTAAATGCACAGGCCTTCCAGTTTCCACTTCACAGGAGGATAAGTAATGTGTTCCTAAAGGAGTAGACTGAGTGGCCATGACGGTTAGTGGGAGTTCCTTTGACTAAAGAAACTCAAGGGTTCCTGAAAGTTTTGCAAGTTTTAATTTTTAAGAATGTCATTTATCTTTCAACCTTTTCAGAAACTGTAGTTTGTGAATAAGAGATAACATCTTACAAAGTTCTTTTAAAGTGGTATCTGTAAAGTGTTTGCCTCAATCATTTGATATAAAAGTTGGGATGCCCTAGGTTAGAAAGACAAACTCAAGCAACTTTTTAATGACTGTAAAGACTATAGCTTTTCAGCAAGGAAATGAATGCTTCAACTCACCCTGAAAAACATATTCAAACTCCTAGAGGGTGAAAGCTGGATAGTATAATACACCTGAAGGTGCTCAGAGAGCCCTTGATGCTTTGGATCCTGGGCAATTCCCACGTTTACAGGTTTGCTTTGTTTGTTGTTTTGGGTTTTTTTTTTTAGGATTATGTTGTTGACAGGTGACACATAATCTGAAAATAACCTCAGCTGTCTTTTTAAAGATTCTCTATCAATGTTGATTTAAGATAGTAACCAATCTGTCTATCCCATGATGGATAGTTTCATGGAGAAATTTAGCTAATATCTATTTTAAATCATATGGAGCCACCAAATGGCCATCTTGAGAGTACTAGAGATTATCTGAGTGAAGGGTATGACCAGGTTTTTTTCCATTCTTCCTTTTCAAAATCAGGGGCTAAATGTTGATATTTTATAATGTCTGCTTTGAATCTCTCCAGAGATTTATCCTTTGAAGGTTTAGATAGGATTTAACCTTTGTTAAAGTGGCTTGTTTGGCAAAATGATCTACTAGAGCATTTCTTTTAGCTTCTGTATTCTCTCTTTTTACATGGCATCCCAAAGCATCTCAAAGTCAGGTACTCCAAACCAGTATATATGTTTGGTCTTTAGCTAACTGACAAACTCTAGTAAATGCAATAAGTTTTACCATCTGGGCTGATTTTTCCTCGGAGGACTATATTCTAAAGGAAAGCTTAAATTAGTGATAGCACATCCTTCTTAATAACCTACACTTTCAGTTTTGAGGTATGATATATCAACAAATAATATTAGGTCATGGTTCACAATAGGAGCCTCTAAAAAATCTGAAAAAGTACAGGGTATTACCTACCTGAAGTATGACCATCATGAGGTTCCCCCTGCTTCTGGTAGAGGCAGGCGAGTGGCAGGATTCAGGGTATCGAAGCAGCGAACAATAAGTAATGTGAGAGGGAGACTGTAACAGAATTTCATAAGATGTTAAAAGGCTGTTTGAAAAGTGTGTCTCTGTCACTAGAAATATCTGTACTGTATGAGGAACATTTAGATGGAGTGAGAGCCTAGAACTAGTTCAGCAGAAGCATCAGTTTTGCAGTGGCAGCTATTGCCTTAGGATAGGGAGATAAACCTTTGCAGCTGGGTCCAGGATAAAGCTATATACAGTAAGCCGTGAGTTTTGATGGTTCCCATGAAGTTGATTAAAAAACTGCAAGAGCTTGTCTAGATCACTCATGTAAAATTACATAAAATGGCTTTTTGCAGTTTTGCAGTTAGGAATGCATAAGGAAGGAGGCTCTCAGGAGCTCAACTATGGGGTGGTGGGGGGGGAGTGCTGAGCTGCCAGGTGTCTGGTGTCTGAGTAGCCAATGAAAGCAACAAGCCAAAAAAGAGTTAAACCTTTAATCATTTACTGCAATTGTATAAGCAAGAGGCTAAAACCTAGGAAGCACTGTCTCCCACTGTCCCTTCCAGTCCATCAACA